TATAAAAGGCAACTGAAATGGACCTAGCCTTGAATATAGGACTAGATGGGGAGTGTGGCCAATAGGAGTGCTGTGCCTGCCCGACCTTTAGGAAACCCAGTCATGTAGGAAACCGTTCCATATTTTAAAATGTTTAGTTGTTATCAACAGCTTTGGGCAGGCTCTTTGAACTTAGGATAACATATTACGCTAAATGTATGGTTTGCCTTCTCTTATTTGTGCATAAGAAAATCATATTAAAATATATTGTACTGTTAGATAACGAGTCTAGCAATCAGACTCCAGCTGCCACAAACCCCTATTTTGAACACGCGGTACCATTGTCATGTTATCGTTTTACATAAAACTTTGCAGCTTTAAGTACATTCAGATAAAAGTTCTGTATTTGCAAAGCACTCTGCAAATTTCCATGAAAGGAAAAACCAAGTTCTTTGTTTACTGAAATATCTATGGTAACAAAAGAGCTAGTGCTAAAATGTATTATTTGAAAAGTCAGTTTTTCATAAGTTGTAAGGTGGCCATTCTAAAAACAAACTTCAGCTGCTTCTTTTAAACAACTAAGACGTTTTGAATAGCTATTCTCAATTGATAAAATAAAAGTCTGATTTTGAGTAATATTTTGGATTTGTGACTTCACTGATGTGGGTATGGCCTCCAACGTTGCATCTTGTAATGTGTCCACACTCTCTCATCGTGTTTCTTGCCTGCCTTTAAATTTTCAGGGACTGGGCAGGGGTGGGTAGGGAGTAGTTCAGCCTAATGCTTTGAAGGCCTGTTTCTCATTTTCTTGGCATTACAGGGATCCCAGTGGAGCATGTAAGCCTCCATGACTATCAAAGTATGTGGTGATTTAATTTGTAGACTTAACTGAGTTCTTCAAAAATATCTCTACTTCCTCTTCTACAACAGCTATTAGAGCATAAACTACCATTATTTTCATGGTGATCTTCTTGCAAATGCAATATGAGGTAACTAAATGTCTCATGAAATATTAATTGTTGTCCTAATAGTAACTCAGTCAATAAATATTTAAGCATGTACTATGTGCCAGGCTTAGTGCTAAGTGCTGGGGATACAAAAAGGCAAAAAACAGTCCCTGCCCTCAAAGAGGTCACAGTGTAATGGGGCTGACAGCAAGCAAACTATGAACAAACAAGCTACATACAAGTTAAATGGGAAATAATCAAGAGTGGGATGGCATCTAAATTAACAAGGATTGGGAAAGGTTTCTGATAAAAACTGCAATTTTGGCTGGGACCAGAAGGAAACCAGGAGGCAGAGATGAGGAGGGAGAGCGGTCCAGGCGTGAGGGTAGGCGGTGAAAATGCCGAAAAGTTGAAGGTATGGAGTGTCGTTTGTGAATAAAAGAGTAAATGGGATGGTGGAAGATGTAAGAAGATTAGAAAGGTGTTTGGGGGGCGATAGATTAGGAAGGTTTCATACTTGATCCTAGAGGCAATAGGGATCCACTGGAGTTTTTGAGTGGGGGGTGGTTGGGAGGGGGTTACAGACCTGTGCTTTAGGAAAATCACTTTAGTGGCTGATTGGAGGATGGATTGGAATGGGGAGGACTATTTGAGACTTTTGCAACAATACAAGTATGAGGTGATGAGGACCTGTACCAGCAGGGTAGTAGTGTCAGGGAAGAAAAGAGGGGTTTATTTGAGAGGTGTTTAAAAGGTGAAATCGACAGGCCTTGGCAACAGCTTGGAT